GGATGTTTGTAGGATTTCGAGCGTGTAGTTGAGGCCAATTTGTTGCTCAAAGCGATCGCCACCAGGCGTTCCGATTGCAGGGTTGTTGACTACATAGTCAGTGACGGAGGAGGAGTTTAAGGCTGAGATGGGTATGAGAGCAGCAACAAGGAGAGCGAATGTTCTCATGTTTGCTTGTTGCTTGATTTCTTAGAGATATATGACCCTTTATATGATTTCTTGGGGTTCGTTGGTTACTCCGTGAATTCTCACATGAGGTCATAAGGGATCGATGAGAAACGAGTAGTTTTTACTAGTGCTCACAAGGTTCAATGTTGTCATCTCTTTTGTGGACAGTCTAATAAAACATCTTCTGTGAACAAGTTGTCGAACTCTTGTCATATGTCGCCCTTGTAAGAATCAAGATGAGGTTTTAATTAAGAGAACAAGGTGTTCGAACCGTCTTGTTGACTTATACATAAGTCTGTGTGTCTTGTACAATGTTCAGAGAAGAAAGAACATACGCTCTGCGTTACGTAGCAAGAAGAGGATCACAGCAACGCAAGTTGTCCACTTTATCAATTCTTTTATTTTCCTTGGTACAACGACCGTGGTCACAATCTGATATCCTCGGTACAAACAACATAAACGTACAAGTTCAAACACACACGCAACATAAAAGGGCATTCTCCGAAAACATTAGCACTATATCCAAACTTCATCCAAGAATTCAGAAATACCACCACCCCTTCGTACTCAGCGTCGCAGTACTCAAGAAACCGAGCGGTCACGTCGAAACCCTCGTCCCACCGCATCCCTTCGCCAAACCTCACCCACTGTTTCGGCGCGTATCCGGCTTTCAACCGGAAGAAATCCGCCACGCCCGTCAACAACCCGGCAGGGGCCTGCCCCTGCCCGTCCCATTGCAAAGCGCGTGCAAGTTCGTAGTACACAATGCCGGTGAACTCTTCCTTAACGTCACCGGAAAAGTTTCCAATGTACTTGGAGTTTACGCGGATGTCACCGTTGACGTTGTCGGATATACCGATCATGCTCTGGGTAATCGTTACGGTTATCTCCGTAACATTTTTCCTGTCGGTTTCGTTCCGTTGAGCGAACGCGTACCAAAAGGAGGACGACCCTTTTTCCAGGACGTCGAGGGCGTAGTCGAGCCCGACTTGCTGCTGGAAGCGGTCGCCGCCGGGCGTGCCTATCGCGCTGTTGCTGGCGGCGTAGATAACGGCGTAGGAGGGGGCTAAGGCTGAGATGGCCACGAGAGCAGCAAGAGGTAGTAGAGTGAATGTTTTCATGCTTGCTTGCTTGCTTGCTTGCTTGATTAGTTAGTGAGAGAGTTGGGGGGTGTTTATATAATTAAGTTGCTTGTGTGGTCTCGTTGGTTAATCCGTGATTTCTTGAATATGGTCGAGAGCATAATACAAAGCCGGTGCATGTGCAAGAGACGTCGATGAGAAACAGGTCGTTTTGCCGTTAGTATTGGCTGGTATTATCATTGTTTTAGGCTCGATCATTTTTCGTTTTGCCGTTTGTATTATAGTTTTTATGGAAAAATGCTTCCAGCCCCCAAAACGAAAGAAAACGTATTTCCCCCTCCCAATACTTTTTCAACGGGTGTTTTACCCCCAAAAGTAAACTTTGTGTTTTCTGAACTTCCAAAACACAAAACCCAAGAGATTTAAATTCGTGAAGACCATAATATCCTCCATGGCCAGCTCCTCCTTCCTTTCCAAACCCAGCGACCGCAACCTCCTCTCCTCCTCCTCCTTCCACGGCCTCAAGCTCTCCTCCGTCTTCAAAACCCAATCTTTCTCCTCCACATCATCGTCATCCTCCGCCACCCAAATCTCCGCCTCTTACGACCTCTCCTCCCTCCGCTTCCACCTCAATCTAAATGAACATATCGTGTCCTGCAGATGGACCCGACCGCTACATCATGAACGACCATGATCACCTAACCGACCCCACGTCATCGCGTCGGGACGGCAGACGCGGCGGCGGCGGGATCCGGCCGGCCTCTCTTGCGCTTCGCGAAGCTCTTTACCAAGAACCTTGGACATCAATGTTCCAATCGAGCAGGATCGTCTCACCCGAGCGCCGCCTGGCCGGCGTGCACCTCTTCTCCGCATGGTGTATCCCTAGCTCCACCCCCTCTTCCTCGATGAGCCTCGAGGTCCGCGGCTACAGAGCAGGAGGATTATGTCGGTCATCAAGCACAACCACCCTCTTACTCACAATCATGAAGCAAACGTTGCGACGAGCGCAACGTGAAGCTGTTCAACGTGGTGGTGACGGAGGATTTGATAATAAGGAGGTCGACGAGGGGGGGGTGGGGTCGTGATGAAACTAGGCGTTGGTGTCGATGAACCACGACACCCAGTCGTGCATGGATCCGAACGTGATGGAGGCCAAGGTCGTGGTGAGCTCTTCTGGGCATGATGGGCCTTTTGGGGGCACTCGCGTTAAGAGACTGAGGAGCGTTGGGATGATCGACACCGTGTCCGGGATGAAGGCGCTCGATATGTTAAGGTTACAATATAGGCGCCTAAAAATGCTTATTGTTGATGTCTGTGAACACATAGTCGATGGGGTTGCAAAGTTGTTGGTCTCTGCGCTAGCGGTGAAGAGGAAGAGGATGAGAGATGGGGCCGACTCCTCCTCTGACTTTATGCCCGATCCTTAGACTGGAATTCCTGATCCTTATGCACAAACAAGAAGAAAGTGGGAGGGCGGGGCTCATTTTCCCTGTGATACCTCCGACGGTCAAGTCAGCTGGTGATCTTGAGTGGGGTTTGAGGGAGAGTCCATGTGCTATTGAGGTCCTTTTTAGCAAAGATAAATTCAGAGCTTTTTTGAAGAAAATAGCAGAAAAGAATCCTCCCATTTTTACCTTCTTTCCCTCCTTTTATAGCCCCTTGCCTCTGAGAGTTTGACTCTTGGCTTTGACTATGCATAGGAGGCGGTTGAGGGGTGATCAAATATGCTGCTGAGTCATCCTTCTCCTTCCAAATGTCAGCTGATGATTGGAAGGGAAGTCATTCGAGTACAGGAGAGAAATGTCTTCTCAGTACCCTAGATTTGTCAGATGATATAGGACAGAGAATAGGGCAACTACTGGGTCATCCTTCCCCTTCCAGATGGTGGCTGGTGATTGGAGGGTGTTTTCGTCAAAAGTTGGTCTCGTTGTGGAATTCATTATATCTTCGGTCGATTACAACAAATTCAAAAGAAATAGCCTTTTTATAAGACTTCTTTTACACAACAAAATGAAAATTACAACTTTTTAGAAACAAACACAGGATCGTTGTTTGGATCGCTGCTTGCGCGGGATCTTTGCCTGTGCCGGGAGCGCTTTGACTCGTGGACCACCGAATCACAGATTCTGATTGAATCGTGAGGGGTTTAGTGATTCTTCCTTCGTTTATCGAAGTAGGAATTTGAAGTGAATATCTTATCAAAGTAAGATGATCACTCTTCTTAAGATCAAGTCAAAGCTCGAATCTCAAGGAATTGCCAGAAGCTCAGGAACTCTGCTCTGTCTGCTCTAAAAATGCTCAGCCTTCCGCCCCCTGATCAGCCCCTTGGATGCTCTCTAATCAGCCCCCTTTTGTAACCATTGTCCCACTACCTAAATACCATCCTTTTATGATGTTAGTGGGTCTCATTTCAGTTTGTAACCATCTCCCCACGTTTATGGTTGATCTCAAGTAGTTATGAAGTCAAAAAACCGTCAAAAAACGTGTTGTAACCAACTCTATGGTCGAGACAGTGAAGTCTGTCTCGTACTTCCGAGACAGTTTGTGTTATCTCGGGTATTTTAGCTCTAACTCCCTCGTACGATCTCGGAATGAGATGATCCAAGATGCGTTGGAAAGCTGACGAAGAGATCTACAACTTTTATCTTTTGACCTTCTTCAGATTTGGTGCGAGATAGTCATGACTGTCTCGCATTCCGAGACAGTGAAGACTGTCTCGCACTTCCGAGACAGTTTGTGTTGTCTTGGGTATTTTGGCTCTAACTCCCTCGTCCGATCTCGGAATGAGATGATCCAAGATGCGTTGGAAAGCTGATGAAGAGATCTATAACTTTCCATAGGCAAAACACTCATAGAGTAGATGAGACACACATGGTACTTCACCTTTTTGTGGATAAAGCACAACTCCTGGTTGAGTTGTTCCTTTATCGTTTAGCATGTTTCACAGACTCGTACGCTTCGCCGACTTATTTCGTATGCTTTTTAGCTTCTCTACAATATCAGATGATCTCCTTTGACTCAGATAATCCTCCTTGACTCGGATAGTAACATTCATCGTCTTTTTTTATCTCGAGCTATATGCGAGAACCTATAGGCAATTTTTTATGCCTACAGATACCCCCACCAAAGTATTTCAGCCTCATTCTTTTATAAAAGAGGCTGGAATACTTTGGATATGATACATCTGGCTATTAATTCGTTGACTTCTTCATCTTTTAGTCTACTCAGTGCTTTGTAGAATAGCTAAAATTCTTCCGGTATTGCGTTTATCGCTTGACCGTTGTCAAAGTCTTGAACTGAAACTGATGTTTTGATTTGTGAATTAGCTCTTGTCGTTGAACTGATGTTGAACTAATTTTCTTCATTAAGAATTCATATCTGGATCGCAATTGAATCCCCTGAGATCATCCATTGGACTTTTTTTCTTAGCCTTATTTTGGCAAAAATCATTGACGCGTTGGCAGGCGTTAACACAGTTTATCCTCGTGCGTTTACTGGAGTCTACACAGTTTAAACTCTTAAAACGTTAGAGCATAGCGGTCTTGAGTGTTGAGGCTGCAGGACCAATTGTTCAGGTCGGTTCATCTGCAGATATGAATTTTATCCTAAGTTTGTCAGATACTCAAGTCACGAGACCAACTAATAAAGCTGGTGCGTCAGTGATTATCGCATTTATAGGATTTTTGGCAAACCCTCAGCCATCAACGGGTTTGAGAAGCCTTTATCGATTACCGTTTGAATCGGGCTAGCATGCAGATTGTTTAAGTCCGTTCTGCATGTAACGTTATGCTAAGAGAATAAACTCTCTTAGACTTGGTGCTATGATATTGAATACATAGACTTGTTCGTTTTCACGGGAACGGACCACCCGGCAACGCGTATTAGGCGTAGGCTTATCTCTAATAAGGGATCGAAATAGAGTCCCCCATGCATCAAACATGGATTTGGAAATATTGATGGGTTACGTCTTTTTGGTGGAAAGATGAACCTGACACTGGAGAGGAAGAATTTTATATTCTATCTCCTAGTCTCCTTTTTGTTGGTAGAGATGAACCCGATGATAGAGAGGAAGAATTTTATATTTTATCTCCTGGTCTCTTTTTTGTTGGTAGAGATGAACCTGATGATGGAGAGGAAGAATTTTATATTCTATCTCCGTGGTCTCTTTTTTATTGGTAGAGATAAACCCGATGATGGAGAGGAAGAATTTTATATTCTATCTCCGTCGTCTCTTTTTTTGTTGGTAGAGATGAACCCGATAATGGAGAGGAAAAATTTTATATTCTATCTCCTGGTCTCTTGTTTGTTGGTAGAGATAAACCTAAAATCGGAGAGGAAGAATTTTATATTCTATCTCCTAGTGCAAAGGAAACTCGAAGTGGGATCTCCACTTAGAGAATCTGGATTGGTTTGAATAATCCTAACTGTCATAAGGTTTGATTATCCAATTCAAAGCTGGACCTTTCGTTCGCAAAATGAATCGAAAGGAGATTTTGGCTGTGGTCCTAACTGTAGTAAGGTTTGACCAAGTGGGAGTTTCGAGGTGATCCTAACTGTAGGAAGGTTTTGTGGACCTCTCGTTCATGGAAAGAATCGAGAGGGGATTTTGGTTTTGGTCCTAACTGTTTAAAAGTCTGACCAAATAAGGGTTTGAGACGATCCTAACTGTTTAAAGGTTTGATCGTTCAATTTGTGGACCTCTCGTTCATGGAAGGAATCGAGAGGGGATTTTGGTTTTGGTCCTAACTATTTAAATGTTTGACCAAATGGGAATTTGAGACGATCATAACTGTTTAAAGGTTTGACCGTTCAATTTGTGGACCTCTCGTTTATGGAAGGAATCAAGAGGGGATTTTGGTTTTGGTCCTAACTGTTTAAAGGTTTGACCAAATGGGAATTTGAGACGATCATAACTATTTTCAGCAAAAGTTGCTTGCATTGATAATTCTATTGAACTTCGGTCGTTTACAACGAATTACAATGAAAAAATGAGAAAATTACAACTAAATTACAACTCTTGAGAAACTAACACAGAAGTC